CAAAGATGCACCACGCACTGGAAGGCCAATTGTCGAAAATATCGATAAAATCATGGACATTGTCGAGTCCGACCATCATGTAAGCACTGTTTCGATTGCTCAAGAGCTAAAGATTGCACAAAAAACCGTTTGGAACCATTTGAATAAGGCTGGATACAAAAAGAAGTTCGATGTATGGGTGCCACATGAGTTAACGAAAAAAAACCTCATGGACCGAATTTCCATCTGCGAATCGCTGCTGAATCGCAACAAAATCGACCTATTTCTGAAGCGGTTGGTCACTGGTGATGAAAAGTGGATCACTTACGACAACGTCAAGCGAAAACGGTCGTGGTCGAATCGCGGTGAGCCGGCGGAAACGGTGGCCAAGCCAGGATTGACGGCCAGGAAGGTTTTGCTGTGTATTTGGTGGGATTGACAGGGAATTATCTACTATGAGCTGCTCCCCTACGGCAAAACTCTTAACTCGGAACTACATTGTCAACAATTGGACTATCTGAAGGAAGCAATCGCCCAGAAGTGGCCAGCTTTGGCCAATAGGAGAGGAATTGTGTTCCATCAGGACAACGCCAGACACACATCGATAGTGACTCGCCAGAAGCTCCGAGAGCTTGGTTGGGAGGTTCTTATGCATCCACCTTATAGTCCGGACCTGGCACCAAGTGATTACCATCTGTTCCTGTCCATGGCGAACAATTTTGCTGGTGAAAAATTCGCTTCAAGAGAGGCTTGTGAAAATCGACTGTCTCAATTTTTTGCCAATAGGGACGAGGGCTTCTATGAGAGGGGCATAATGAAATTACCTTCAAAATGGCAACAAGTTATCGAACAAAACGGCGCATATTTGACCTAAATCGGATCATTCTAACTATGGTAATTAAAGCCTTCAATTTCATGCAAAAATAATGGATTTCTTTTTACTACACCTGATATATTCAGATATTCCAAAAGAAATATTTGTTGCTACTATGATAAAAAATCAAAAGAAACCGTTGGAAAATAATTGCATCGATTTTTTATTTTATTGTAAATAGTAAATTGATGAAAGTCTATCATAAATACATGATAGATAGTTTGTTTTTTACCGTATGTTATTTTTAATGTGTTATTTTTTTATATTACCTACAATTCTCATTTTGCTTTTTATCATATTGTATCGTAATTATGAATGCACTGATAAAGAAGTAATTCACAATTGATTTTCGGTCGTTTTCCTTCCCTAAGTATACCATTTACAATATCAAATCCTTTTATTGTTTTTCGTATTGTTCCTTTTTCTATAAATCGTGGATTAATAGAAACCTACCGTAAATGGTTATAAATGGTATAAATGGTATACATGATTAATTCTTTGTTTTCTTTTCGTAAGTATCTTATTAGAAAATTAAAAAGATATAAGTGAAATACTTCACTATCGAATTGAATATTCTCGCAGGGAACGATAGAAAATGGTATCATTTCTTTCGAATTCGATGCAATGAAATGATAAATTATAAAACAATGAAACAGATTAGAAAACAATGAGATTCTATGTAGATTCCGTTGGTTTCTGTCGCTTTCTCTCTTTCGATTTTTTATTACAGAACTTTTTATGGTTTTATTATGAGTTATTTTTATTATTTCGGAAAGTGATTTCGTAATTATAATTACGAATGTATTATAATTGCGAGTACGTAGCGGTCATCAATGTAAGCCTTCGTAAGATATGGCAAGATATAGAAGTGGTAATGCAAGTACACAAGCAATAATAACGGTGCATTCTCGCTGTGCGCCAGCAACCGTTATTAGAACGACTAGGCTGTATTATAGCTTGAACGGCTCAAATGCTTTTCCCTTATCGTTTTGATGCATACGCTTATTCATCTATTTTTTATAATAACTTGATTATTAATTATTACGAATATCGAAAAACAGTAACAGAACTTTTTTCGTTCACCTCAATCCGTTCTATGTCTTCACTATGAGCAGAACTATAAGCGTCAGTACAATTGTTCTAAAACATTCTATGTAATAATATACAGGATGACCGAGATCTTATGGAAACAAAAAATTATGAAGATTAATCAGATCAAACTGAGAAGAAAAGTCATGTACCATTTTGCAAAAATTGAAATAGTTCTTAAATTACTAATAATTGAAAATTACTATCTAGAGGCTCTTTTAATTGATAATTATTGAAAATTATTTATTTGCAAAATGAGAAAGAACGTTTGTTCAGAATGACTTAATCTACAATTATATAACGGTTGTTGTGTTTAGTGACAGATATGAATATTAGGGTGGAGCGAAAAAATCAAAATTGAAATATTCAAAATCGGGTAGTGTGCAAAAGTTGTGTCTTGATCTCAGTAAGAAACGTGCAAAAGGAGATCACTCTGAGTCAATATCTTCTGTTCCGGCAAGGCACTTTAAAGTTTCGCTTTTAGGTGAAATTCCCAAAACGTACGAAGAAGTTCTTATGCACTTAAAATTACGTCAGTACGTCTTAGAGTAATTCATTATCATGCCTTAGCATAGAAAATAGGATATATTATGATAAAAAGTGTGTCAAAGAAATATATTTTTCAGCTTTTTTTTAAATTACACGTGCAACTCTTCGTTCGCTGTGAAGGCGACTCAGAACTCACCACGTGAAGGTGGTTGCACTTTGCGAGTTCCTTCCCTAGCCCTTCCGTACCTCCCAACCGTAATGGACTAGGATAAAATTTAACTTTGCGCTTTGCTTAACAATATTTATTAATGACTGAAGTCCCGCTTTATCTCAAACTGTAGCATAAGAGCCCGAGAAGCTAACGTGCCCCTTATATGACCGTCTCTTACCTCCTGCCCAAAGACCTTGCTAGATGCTTCAGTCACTAATTTCACTATTCTCTCCACCGCCTGTGTATGAGCTGGGAAAGCTTGAAAATCCCAAATCTGGGGAATTTTATTTTCAGATAGGAAATTCCTCAAGTGCTCGTCTGAAAAGTTCTTAAGAACAGGAGAACTTGTTACTTCTGTAGACCAATCAATCATGTCTTTGTAGTCTGTGGCCTGAAAATTAATTTTAGGCAGTGAGAAAGACCTTATAAACCCGGGATTTGCAGCCTCTGCTTCTTTTGCCTCTATTATTTTCCAGAGAGCAAGTTCTCTGATCTCTGTCCTCTCATCTGTGAGCATGCTGAGAAGATTTTCTGGAGATGCAAAAAAATGTATTTCTCGCAATGACAGGATCAATTATTTGTAAGTATTTTATTTATTTTATTTATTTTATTTTATTTATTTAATTAATTTTCAGGCCACAGACTATAAAGACATGATTGATTTGTCTACAGAAGTAATAAGTCCTCCTGTTCTTAAGAACTTTTCAGACGAGCACTTGAGGAATTTCCTATTTGAAAATAAAATTCCCCAGATTTGGGATTTTCAAGCTTTCCCAGCTCATACACAGGCGGTGGGGAGAATAGTGAAATTAGTGACTGAAGCATCTAGCAAGGTCTTTGGGCAGGAGGTAAGAGACGGTCACATAAGGGCCACGTTAGCTTCTCGGGCTCTTATGCTATAGTTTGAGACAAAGCGGGACTTCAGTCATTAATAAATATTGTTAAACAAAGCGCAAAGTTAAATTTTATCCTAGTCCATTACGGTTGGGAGGTAGGGAAGGGCTAGGGGAGGAACTCGCAAAGTGCAACCACCTTCACGTGGTGAGTTCTGAGTCGCCTTCACGGCGAGCGAAGAGTTGCACGTGTAATTTAAGAAAAAAGCTGAAAAATATATTGCTTTGACATACTTTTTACCATAATATATCCTATTTTCTATGCTAAGGCATAATAATGAATTACTCTAAGACGTACTGACGTAATTTTAAGTGCATAAGAACTTCTTCGTACGTTTTGGGAATTTCACCTAAAAGCGAAACTTTAAAGTGCCTTGCCGGAACAGAAGATATTGACTCAGAGTGATCTCCTTTTGCACGTTTCTTACTGAGGTCAAGACACAACTTTTGCACACTACCCGATTTTAAATATTTCAATTTTGATTTTTTCGTTCCACCCTAATGAATATATTGAACTTTGAATCCTGGATATTGAACCTGTCGCACAATAGCCGTCATATATCGTCATATACCGTCATATACCCGTCATATACCGTTATAGTACCGAATTTGATCGAAAATCGTAGCAACGTCGAGGACTCACGTATAAATAAAGCTAAATGCAGTAAGTAAAGCTAAGGAGATCTCTTATATTGAAAAAGATGAGTTGAGCTTGGATGGTTAAAGAAGCAATTTAGAAGATCAATAAAAAAAATTAATTTTATAATCCAAATATAGATTGAATTGCCAACAACAACAGTAACAAGTTAATATACAAAAATTTTGATCTTAAATGAAATTTCCTAAAAAAAAAAAAAAACATGTGTTATGAAACAGTACATAAAGTTTCAAAAATAGTTTCACCAATTTTACTGAAAGTTGATAGGTATACGTATTTTTAAGATAGTTATTTAAAATATATCACAAAAATAGAATTTTATAAAAAATTCTTAAAAAACGATAAAAGAATTTTATTTTTACAACACATAACAATTTATATTTCTGTAAAAAAATAAAAACAAATTTGTTTTTGCAAATTTTGTCTCCGATATGTTGTATATAGAGGAATTCCTTTGTAAATAATAAATCTGTTCTTTTTTCGTCAAATTTTTCTAGCAAGAGAAATCATATGTGCCACAAATAGAAACACAATTTGGACCAATCACTATGATTATTTATTATATTTACGAAAATAATATTTTCGAACAACAATGTTATTGCGAAATAATAAAAAATCAGTTCATAAAATTCCATGGAATCTTTTATTTTATCTGCCCTTGAATTATCAGAATTATATCAATATTTGAAAATAAACCAATTCAATCAATTTTTCAGTCTTCAAGGGTTCTATCCTCCCTTAAAAATTATTTAACTTTTAGATAATGAATAACTACGTGATTAAAGAATTAGGTTATGATCATCTTACCTTTTCTAGTGTTCTCTCATAAGTTCTGATACTTTCGATCAAACTGATAGCGAAAGGATATAACTGATTAGCCTGATGAGCCTTATTCACAATAGGTAGTGGAACGCGGAATCCCAGATTTCTCAGATTTCTTACTTCCTTGGATAGTGTAATAATCTCAGGAAGGAAATTCACTTTTAGCTTTAATACATTGCCTCGTCCTGTTCTTGAACGCACATTTTCGATCGTAAAGATACGTCCGGTTACACCGAGATTTCGTGCCTGCACTTTACGCGCCCAGTCGTCAAAAATTTCTTGCGTTGATAGTTTCATACGAAAACTATCACCGTCGGCTTTTAGTTTCTGACCTTCGATATGACTTTCCCATCCTTTACCTAAAGGTGTGTTTGTAACATTAATTTTAAGCATCATCTTTTAAATTTAAAGTTTCAAAATTTACCTAAGACATCTTCAACGCGTTTTAAATACATTGTCAACTGATAATCGATTTGTTTGACCCATATTATAGATCCAGCAACAGGTGGTAAATCTCTCACCATACTCATTCTACAGCATTTACTCTGTGCATATTGAACCTGTAAAAGATTTTACAATTATTCTGATTTATTTATTTGATATTTTATAATATATAGATCGATAGTTAAAACTATTTCTATATTTAAATACCTTAAACTTTTCGTGTAATGCTTCGATATCATCTTTGACTCTTTGTATCAGTTGTGTCTGATATTCTCTAATAGCACCTCGAATATGTGGCCTCACAAAGAGCGCATTGAATCTTGAAAATATCCTAAACATTTCATTTGCATTCTTAGCTGTGCCCAATTGATCTCGAAGATGCGCTGTAATCCTTGCTTCTACGCGCTCTATACGCTCCTCATATCTATGCACTGCGGCATCCCAAGATTCTTGCCCTTCTTTGCTAATGTCCAGACAATCCACTTCCTTTACATTTTCATACGCTAAATTAACTTCACTAATTGCATTAGCATCTGCAGCGTCTAAAGCGAATTCCACTTTTACATTATCGTTATCAGTATTTTCCATTGTGGAGTTATTACTACTTTGACGGACAGGTCTAAGTACACGAACTATCACCGTTCTCAATTGTTCATGTTGCCGGCGGAAGCGACGCATATGCTCCATTCTTGATTGCAACTTCTTATGCGCCGGTAATACCCTCCACACCATTTTCATATGCTCGTCACGTTTCTTCTTTACAACGTCCCTCAGTAATCCCGTAAGCTTGTCATATTCGTCGTCCCAAGTAGTAAATACTTCAAAACATTGACCCATTACTTTCTCGAATTCATCAAACGGGATATGCATCAAACGTCGTGTACCCAATACCTTGAGCAACTGTTGTCCTAGATCTCTCGAAATAGCTTCCACCAATCTTAATACTCTTTGAATGGGATATTTTGTGCTTCTTATTTTTCTCAAATGCATGAAAATCTGTTGCACGCTGCTACGTATTCTTTCTAATTCGGTAGCTGATAACAGATCATTGATCGGAAAATCTTTCATTAACGGATTGTAATCGTTCACTGTAGCTAACGCTTGTTTCAAGCCGGTGTCAGTATCGAAACTCACGGTGGCATGAAATCGTTTACCATGTTTCAGTATATCGAGTGTTAAGGAGATTTCGATACTTTCCCGTTTTTCTTGAATACGATGTAACGCTCTTTCAAGATTTAGCCAGAAAGATATTTCTTGGAGTGCTGTACCCGATTCTGGATCTCGATTTAGTTTAGTTACTTTCTGAATTTCTTTTATCCATCTGTTTACACCGTTCTGCAATTGATTCAGAAATGTTGAATCTTCAACTTTATCTCCAAAGTCAGCGACTTTTGGCTTACGACCTTCTTCTTCGCATTGTTTAATGACTTGCGCGACAATTGGATGGACAGGCAATGAAATTTCTGGAATATCAATGTTCTGCTGTAAATGTAGTAATCCCATTTCAAGTTCTGCAATTTTCTTTTCTACTAGTGGCACCATTTTGTCTCCATCTCGGTGAGCACGACCTGTTTCTTTTACGTAACTTTTGAAGTAAGGCGCCATAGTTTTACTTATTGCATGCAAAGTTTCATATGGTGGTCCGTCAGAGAAAGTGATTAAACGCAATTGGGAATGAATAGATTTGTCAGCTTCAATAACCATTCCACGTTTTGTTAAAACTAAGGAGGCCATTTTTGGATTTGAAAAGCGTATCTCATTCGATATATAGTAAGTTGTATTTTCTCTGTCTTCATCTCCTTCACCACTATCTTCTTCTGCAAAGAGAAATATATAGCAATTATATAATATATATTCTACAAAGATAAATAAAAATAGAAATAGACAGGTAGATACATAGACAGATAGAGAAAGTGAGGTGGGAGAGAGAAAAAAGAGAAAGAGAGAGGAAAGGGGATATCATATGATATAAAAAATTTTATTTTTAATGTGCTAAGTTGTTCAATAAATAATATTACAATAACATATTAATAAATGCTAAAAATAAATCCATTATTGAATGTCGCAATAGGGTCACGACATCAAATACACTCCGTCAGGTTTCAGATCTAAGCACTGATTTCACTAATTTTTATCTAATTAGTCGCAATCGAAAGTTTGCATTAATGTTTATAACAAAGATACACGATTTTCAATTACGGTTTTATATTTCTCGGTTAATTATTAGAAGGTACTGTTATCGTGATGTTTATGATTTATTAAAAAGTATGATAGATGTGAAAAATTCCAGTATAAATTACAGCAGCGTTGACATTGTGCGCCATGAATATAGTTATGTTTAATTCTGTCATTACTATATTTGTCAATACTGTATTTATATGTTCATTCTAAATTTATTGTACGCTCGTCCCATATTGATGCATGCACCAGATCGATAGCCACTAGAATGTTTTAACCAGCTGTACTCGTTTCTAGTTATATGTTTCTCACTGTTGATTCATCCAGCAAACAGGAATATAAAACAAAAGTACATCTATTAAGCTGGCACAGCCCTTTCAGCACAATCGCATGAGACTAGCACAGAAATTTAGTGCTCTTTTGTTGCTAATTTGTTGCTCTATTCCCGATTTTGTTGCTCTAGCTGTTTGTTATGAGCGTTGTTGTAACAACGCTTTCACGATTTTCCTCGGAGTTTCCTCGATGACCGTGGCCGAAAGAAACGCTTCTCTCTCAGTTTCGAATTTGCTAGGATCACTCTTGATAGGAAGTTTCTTTATGCTATGTTGACTGAGCCTCTTTATTTTGAGCTGACTACAGCGAGTTGTCGCTAGCTCGGGCCGCTAGCCGTTGCTATTCTGTTTTTTCTCAGAACACGTTACAACACGATCGGCCTAGGAGACGAAAGATCCCGAAACTGACCGAGGATTCACGAACATAGTGATTCTGTGTGTTCGGCGCGCTTCGCTACACGCAGGAAGAAAGGGCGTTCAAATCCTTAACATAAGCCGGCCCCTGTTGAAAGTACATGCTTTCAAAACATCGGTACAATTGCTTTAAAATTTCGGGTAACATGGACATGACGTCTCCTTAATTAAAGTATACGTTATATAAAGAAATTTGTAACATATGTAATTATGAATACATAGAGTTTTACTCTAACGCTAAATGCGACGAAATGAAAGAAAAAGTGATTTGCTGGATTCTGATCGATATCGAGCATGCAATTGGTAGAACATATAATTAAATAAAATCCGACATTAATCTTCTATCGGTAAGACTGCGATTTTTGCCAATGGTCTCATGAATGAACCGTTGGCTGTACGAATAGTGGCTGTTCGAACAATGCCGTCGGAACCTGGATGAACTTCAACAACTCTTCCTAACAGCCAGTGAAGCGGTGCGAGACCTGTCTGTTTTATCAATACCAGCTGATGAGGTTTTAGTTGTTGGCCCTTGCTAGTTTTCCACTTCGAATGTTCCTGTAGAATGTGCAGGTACTCCTGACTCCATCGACGCCAAAAATGCTGTCTAAGCTGTTCAATTCGTTGCCATCGCAATAGTCTATTTTCGCTTACATCTAACAAATCGTAGCAAGGATAACTATTTAAGGGGGTGCCAACCAAAAAATGACCAGGACTCAAGTAAGTAAGATCGTTCGGGTCAGAGCTCAATGGCGTTAGTAAACGAGAATTTAAAATTGCTTCCATTTCGCAAAATACTGTGTGTAATTCCTCGAAAGTTAAATGAGCTCTTCCAACTATTCGATACAAATGGCCTTTTGCTGATTTTACAGCAGCCTCTCATAGGTCACCAAAATGAGGCGCATTAGGTAGAATAAATTTCCATGAGCTATGTTGTTTTCGCAAAAAACACTGAACATCAGATTGGATCTGTCTATTGTTTAAGAATCCGAAAAGTTCCTTGAGCTGCCTTTGAGCTCCGACGAAATTACTTCCATGATCCGAATATATACAGTCTGTAAAGTAAGAGCGTGCACGGGTTAATGTGTAGAAAAATTTATTTTTAAAGATTTTTAAGTACATGGATTTGTTGTACTCCATGAGAAGAAAAATGCTATACCATTAATAATGAGTCCAGTCACTACCGGCATTGATAATTGCCTGGCATCTCCGAGGCATACTTTCCACTAAGTTGACTGCGTATTCGTTCGGTAAAGATTTCCAAATGAGACGAATTTGTCATGTCAGCTGCTTCAAAGTGCACACTCTTTTTCCTCGAAGCTTGTGCTTGAGATATGCCCACACATTTTCAATGGGATTTGCATCTGGCGACTGCGATAGCCAATTAAGTGTGACGATGCCAGACTGCTCTTTGCACTCGGTGTAAAGCTTGCTCCGGTGTCTTGGGTTGTTGTCTTCCTGTAAGATCCAGTCCTCGTTTTTTTTTATGAAACATCGTTCAGCAGTCGGCAACAAACACTTCTCATAAATTTTAAGCATTAAGATCGGGTTCCGCTTAAACAAATTCACATTTTTTTTCCATATTCGGCGTCACTTTGCCTATCGAGCCATGTTCTGGCAAGTCATCAACATTTTTTATCTTCTTATATTGCTGAACCCACTTAGCGACGAACGATTTTGACTTTCCCATGTATTTAGCAGCCACTACATATGACATTTTTAGTCCTTTGGGGTGGGAACAAAGGAACATAGCCTCGTAGCGCGATGCGTATGCGGCACTCATGGCGGTTAACGTGTTTCTCAGGTTAGAGTTCGACGCCAACTGAATCTTTTGTGACAAAGCACTCACGACAAAGATTTCATCTATCGGCTCACAAAAAAACTAGGACGATATTTGAAGCCAACTGCCATTTATGCCGTGCACGCTCTTACTTTACAGACTGTACAAGAAGGTTTACCCCGCCTTGACACAAACCTTTTCAACGCTGCAATGAAAGATTCGGAGGTAAGATCGCTGACGAGTTCCAAATGCAAACCTTTCGTAGCGAAGCACACAAATATTGCTAAATATGCCTTATAAAGGCGCGCGTTACGACGCTTAGACTCACGTATCATGAATGGACTGGCGTAATCTGTGCCGCAATATGAAAATGGTCTTGAAACCCTCACAAGATCTGATGACAGTGATCCCATGATCGCCTCCGATTGATTAGGATTCATTTAGAAGCATCGAACGCAATTTTTTATTACCTTTCGCGAGGCCGACCGCAGAGAAATCGGCCAAAAACGTTGCCTTATTGCGGACATCGCAGCTTGCACACCGGCGTGTCCGTTGCGCGTATGCTCGTGCTCTATTATACGCTGAGTTAAAATGTGATTGCGTGGAAGTAAAATTGGGTGGTATGAGTCGTAGGACAAGTCTGAATTGTTTAGCCTACCTTCTACTCGTATTAATCCCTCCTTACTTATGAACGGAGAAAAAGAAAGTATACTACTTGACAAACGAACCGCCCCTCTCTTGCTTAGCGTAATGTATTCCTCGGAGAATACCTGTTTCTGCACCACCTTGCAAATGTTCTGCACAGCGAAATCGATTTCTTTAGGAGAGACAAAAGTCGTTGATGCTATTGAATAGGTCAACCTCAAAAATCGCTGAAAATAAGAAATGATACGACATATCTTGTCTAAACTCGAAAATCGGGTTAACAGTTCATTAGCTATCGAATGATCAGGCAATGCGACCGTTGCTGAATAAATTCTTTGTTCTGGAAGGTCATCCACTAATCTTGGAAAGCTTTCCTTTGGTCACTGATCTTCTTGAGATTGCAAAAAAGTAGGTCCCTGCTACTATAAATCAGAAATTGACAATTCATGAACATTTAGACCTCTTGATAAAATATCAGCAGGATTGTCAGCTGATTTGACATGATGCCAGTTGTTTGTCTCAGTTATACGTTGAATTTCGCCTATTCGATTGGCTACGAATGTTGACCATCGCTTGGATGGCGAAGATATCCAGCTCAGAACTATGGTAGAATCTGACCATAAAAATATTTGTACGCTTGATAACTCCAATGAAGCGGTAATCTTTTTTATCAACCTAACTAATAATAAAGCTGCAGATAGTTCAAGACGCGGCAATGAGATAGCCTTAAGAAGTGCGACTCGAGATTTGAAGCATAACAGAGTAATATGATATTGATTGTTTTACTGTGTCGCGTGTTGAACGATGGGAGCGTTGCCTCGTCCGCGCTGATGCTTCTTCTCGATTGCCTTTTAGTGGGCGATAATCCGCCGCAAGAAATCACCTCACTGATGCGGGTTCCCGAAATCATGGACATGTCCCGTCCACTGGAATACCGCCAATTCGCTACACAGCGTGACTCGTTTTTCTGTAGACTCGTTGCAGCTTGGTTGCACGACGGCTGTTAAGCTCGTCTCCGCTCCTAAAATCCTCGAACTCGCCCAAATGTTCGTCCCTTGAGTGTTGCTCCTCACCCACGATGAAGTATGTGATGCCGCATAGATCCGGCTCGAAGGACCAATTTTTATGTTTGTTATGAGCGTTATTGTAACGCTTCCACGATTTTCCTCGAAGTTTCCTCGATGACCGTGGCCGAAAGAAACGCTCCTCTCTGTTTCGAATTTGTGGGCTAGGATCACTCTTGATAGGAAGTTTCTTTATGTTGTGTTGACTAAGCCTCTTTATTTTGAGCTGACTACAGCGAGTTGTCACTCGGGCCGCTAGCCGCTGCTATTCTGTTTTTTCTCAGGACACGCTACAACACGATCGGCCTAGGAGACGAAAGATCCCGAAACTGACCGAGGATTCACGAACATAGTGACTCCGTGTGTTCGATGCGCTTCGCTACATGCGGGAAGAAAGGGCGTTCAAA